AGCCACCGCGCCCGGCCGATAACTTTTTTATCTTATTTTACACTGCATCTACACCACCTGGAAAACCATCACTTTAAATATCTATCCTTTGAAAAACCTTTTGGCTGGCATGGCACCTCTAATCCCACCACTTTGGGAGGCTGAGGTGGGAGGATCACGTGAGGTCAGGAGTTCAAGATCAGCCTGGGCAGAGTAAGACACTGTCTCTACGAAAAAAATTAAAATTTTAGTAGGGCGTAGTGGCACGTGTCTATAGTCCTAACTACTGAGAAAGCTGAGAAGGGAGGATCACTTGAGCCCAGGAGGTTGACTGAAGCTGCACTGAGCCACGATAGTGCCACTGCACTCTAGCCTGGGCAACAGAGAAAGACCCCATCTCAAAAACAAAAAATAATGTTTGATGCTTGGAAAGACAGACTCAAATTCAAATCTTACACTACTTGTTATAATACTACCTAATCCTTGACTATGCCTTGTGTAAATAAAATAAAAATACTACTAACTTCATAAGCTTGTTAAAGATTAAATGCAGTCAAAGAGAAAAGAGCTATCATTGTGCTTGGCTTATCACAGGCATTTATTTACCAAATCTGTCTCTTCCTTTCCATATTTCAAAAGCTACTCCTTTTTAGAACCAAACCTTCCATTTTTTTCAAAAAACAGGCAAGGTCTCCTTTTGTCCCCCAGGCTGGAGTACAGAGGCACAATCATAGCTCACTTGGGCCTCCACCTCCTGTGTTCAGGCTGTCTCTTATACACATCTAGATGTGTATAAGAGACAGGGCACAATCATAGCTCACTTGGGCCTCCACCTCCTGTGTTCAGGTGGTCCTCCCACCTCAGCCTCTCAAGTAGCTGGGACTACAGGAGTATGCCACCATGCCCAGGTAATCTTTTTTTTTTTTTTTTTTTGGTAGAGACAGGGTTTCACTCTGTTGCCTGGACTAGTCTTGAACTATTACTGGCCTCAAGTGATCCTCCTGTTATGGCCTCCCAAAGTGTTGGTGTTTCAGGCGCAAGCCATAGTACCCGGTCCTGAAACCTATCCTTTACAAGAGGTAATGCCCTTAAAAGGGACCTAATTTTATCTTGACTACTAACTTTCCATTTTTATTTTATTTATTTTATTTTTTTTTTGATGTAAAGACAGGGTCTTGCTATGTTCCCCAGGCTGGCCTCAAACTCCTGAGCTCAAGCGATCCTCCCGCCTCAGCCTCCCAAAGTGCTGAGAATACAGGCATGAGCCACTGCACCCAGCCTTTATTTGTTTTAAAACGCAAATAATGCTATCAGTCCCAAAGTAACATTGAGAAGGAGAATTATTTTAGGAATTAATCCCTAATTATTTTCTTCCTGGAACAGCCTAGAATCAAGAATGAAGAAAAGCTAGGATTCTACAGATAAGCCCAGCTGCTATGAGATTATTTTAAAAGCCAAATATTTGTTTAATTATTTAGAATGGCAAATTAGTTGGAATTATCTAATAAGAGGAATTTACTACACACTATGCCATGGTTTGTTAGTATAGGTTAGAAACATGGTTAAAGCTATAGTTTCTTTTAAATTTTATAGCTAGAAGAACTGATCAGTAATGCTGGGAATGCAAGCTAGGAGCTCAGCTTTGATTCTATCAGGTAACACATAAAGCTTTCCCCAGCTAGCATGAACTCCCTGGGAAGTAGTACTTGGACTTTTAATTCTAAGGTGGTCCAAAGAGGCCAGAATTGGGTCTAATCTCAAATTAAGAACGCAAAGTAAATTACAAAGCATTCTAAAGAAATCTAGGGATAAACCCAGGGTTACCCTTGGTCAAGAATTATTAGGCTTAAGGATTAGCAAGGTTTTACTTCATATCTAACTCTTCAAAATATATTGGCCAGGTGTGGTAGCTCATGCCTGTAATCCCAGCACTTTGGGAGGCCTAGGCAGGGCGATCACATGAGGTCAGGAGATCAAGACCAGCCTGGCTAACATGGTGAAACCCCATCTCTACTAAAAATACAAAATTAGCCAGGTGTGGTGGCGCATGCCTGAAGTCCCAGCTACTTGGGAGGCTGAGGCAGGAGAATCACTTGAACCCGGGAGGCGGAGGCTGCAGTGAGCCAAGATTGCACCGCTGCACTCTAGCCTGAGTGACAGAACGAGAACTCCATCTCAAAAAAAAATTAAAAAACAGTCCAGAGGGTAGAGCACATTAGAGATGAATATCAAATAACATAGCACTGGTTATATCCTGTTAACTGAAGCTGCATAATATATACATGTGAGTTTATTATGCTATTCTCTCTATTTTTATGTATACAGATTGAGTTTCCTTAATCCAAAAATCCAAATGCAAAACTTTCTGAGCACCAACGTGACAAAGGAAAAACTCCCTGCAGTATATCAGATTTTGGATTTCTGGATTTAGGATGCTCAACTGGGTACAATGCAAATATTCCAAAATTTTGAGATCAGAAACAGTGGTTTCTGGTCCCAAGAATTTCGGATAAGCAATGTTCACCTTGTATTTAACATTTTCCATAATGAAGCTTTTTAAAGCATGTGCCTCTGTATCAAATATCTTTTCTAGTCATAGCTGTATATTGATGACCATAAACATTCTTTTTTTTTTTTTTTTTTTTGAGACAGAGTCACGCTCTGTCACCCAGTCACCCAGGCTGGAGTACAATGGTGCAACCTCGGCTCACCACAACCTCCACCTCCCGGGTTCAAGCAATTCTCCTGCCTCAGCCTCCTGAGTAGCTGGGATTACAGGTGCACACCACCATGCCTGGCTAATTTTTGTATTTTTAGTAAAGACAGGGTTTCACTGTGTTGGTCAGGCTGGTCCTGAACTCCTGACCTCGTGATCTGCCCGCCTCAGCCTCCTAAAGTGCTGGGATTACAGGCGTGAGCCACTGCACCTGGCCTAAACATTCTCATTTTTAAATAAAAAAGTGTACCACTTATTTAATATGACATACTATGTAAACCTGGTTGTCCCAGCCACTCACCTAAGGTACTCACTGCCACCTGATGGCAATAAACCCCACTTGTATGCAATATTTTAAGAGCTGGATAACAAGATGACATTGCAAATCTTAAACATATAAAGTGGCAGTGATATCCACTTAAAAAATAATTACCAAGTAGTAAACAAAAACTGACAAATTCCTTGGGTGGTAGAAAAAACAATTGAGGTGGGACCAGGTTAAACAAAGGAAGAGTAAGAAGAAACTCTCCCGTCTTGGGTAAGTCATTACAAGTTTCAGTTTCCTCATATGTAAGAGAGTTAGATTAGAACGGTGGTTCTCAGCAGGGGACAATTTTGCCCCACGGGATATTTTGCAGGTGTGGAGAGATTTTTGGCTGCTAATTGAGGGGAACTGCTATTGCCATCTAGTGGGTAGACGACAAGGATGCCACTAAACAACCTACAATGCATAGAGAGCCCTCCCCATACCCAACAACAAAGAATAACCCAGCCCAAAATGTCAATAGTGCTGTTGTGTAAGATACCAGACCAGTAGTATCAGCACAACCCAAGAACTTGCTAGAAATACAGAATCTCAGGCCTTAGCCAGGACCTACGGAATTAATATGTATTTTTAACAAATACCCAAGTGATTGATATGCATATTACAGTTTAAGAAACACTACTGTACCTGGATTATCCCGTGAGATTCTGATTCAAGTGGTCTAGGGGATGATCCAGGTCTTGGGATTTTTAAAGTTCCCCATGTGACTCTTACGTGCCACCCCCAAATTTGAGAACTCTTGTTCTATAGGATCACTCACTAAAGTCTCTTCCATGCCAGTATTATATATACACACTATGTGGCAATATAAAAATATCTTACAAATCAATGCAGCGAACTGACCTTAATGTATTTAATAAAGTAAACAAGTAACTGAGCTAAACAAAGGACTATCAATTGTCTTACATTCATCAGAAACTACAATGACAGTTTATACAGACCTTACTTTCTAAACTAAGATGGAAAGCAAAGAACTATGGATAAGAGACCTAATTCATTCTTGAGAAGTACACCAGCACCCACCCCATCTTCCAAACACTTACCGTAATTGCTTTACAACTCTTCCACCCTATATAAGTTAGCCTTCGATGCATAAGTGAGAGTCCACTGAAGAATGTGGAAGTGGTGATAAGACAAATGCCAACTCATAGTAAACACCAATATCCAAGTAAATACTAGATACTAACATAAACTTTAGAGCATGAAACCCACAGAGAAAAGTTATAAAAACATATAGTATCCCTTACCTGGGTATTCTGGAAGTAATGCTTCCAGAGAGGCCTAATTCTATCTTGACCACCAACATCCCATACTGTGAAACAAATGTTCTTATATTCTACTGTTTCCACGTTAAAACCTACAAAGAAAAACAAAAATGACCGCTGTGCGGCGTCATTAAGAAAATAAAACCTTTTATTGTGGAATTTTCTTAGTGTTTTAAAAGTACTTCTTTTTATTAAAAAAAATATATTTAAACCTAAACATCAACAGAGACAAGGACTCAATATGTTATGCAGGCTGGTCTTGAACTCCTGGACTCAAGCGATCCACCCACCTCGGCCTCCCAAAGTGCTGGGATTACAGGCATGAGCCACCACACCCGGCCTGTTTCAAAAGTACTTCTAAGATAATCAACATGCTTAACAAAAAGACAGTCTCAAAACGAGACTGTATATATTTCACTTTACAACATATCATCATGATATAAAGTCATCTGTAAACTTTCTTACCAATAGTAGGAATGGTGGTGACTATCTCCCCTAACTTCAGTTTATACAGAATGGTTGTCTTGCCAGCAGCATCCAATCCAACTAGAAAAAGACATTATAGATTTAAAATCCAGACCAAAAGCACACTCCAAGAAATAATTTTACAGTATAAGGCAAAAGTAGAAGTTGTCTAAATGAAATGATCTTATTTCTGATTCCCAAAGGCAACACTTCCTACAGAAAGCCTTTCCATTCTTCTTTCTAGACCAAGAGAGACAGCATGTACTAGTAAAAGGAAACGAGTATATAGCTGACTTAGGCTCTAATCTCTAGCTTTGCCACAAACTAGTTGAGTGACTTTAGGACACTGAGGAAAGATAAATTAGCCATAAATAAAGGGACTGGATCAGATCATCTAAGATCTCTTCCAATTCAAGACTTTATTCTATGAACTACCAGCATTTTTGCGGGGGGGCAGAGGAGGGGGGGACATACTCTTGCTCTGTTGTCCAGGCGCCCAGCACCACGCCCAGCTAATTTTTGTATTTTTAGTAGAGATGGGGTTTCACCATGTTGGCCAGGATGGTCTCAAACTCCTGACCTCAAGTGATCTGCCAGTCTGGGCCTCCCAAAGTGCTGGGATTACAAGCGTGAGCCACCGTGCCCAGCAATACTACCATTTTTTAAAACACAGATTAGAAGTTGATTCAGAGAACACAAAACTGAATAAAGAATTACCTTAAGGTTTGTAAAAATATTTTCTCTTATTTACAGAGTACAATTTGGGTAACAGATTTTGATGCTAAGGGGTAAAAATACACTGGTATAACTATGTCCTAGTGGTGTAACTATGTTCTAGTGACCTTCTATAACTATGTCCTAGTGACCTTATAATGATAATAAAAGAAGATGAAGCCAATTTTACCCCTGCTTAAATCCATTTCAACATTAAATGTGCCAAAATGAAAACGAAAGTCTGATTAACCTGTGTTATAAAAATGGCCCTATCACATTCATCTACAATATTAAGTAATATCTAAATTTTTGTTGTTGTTGTTGTTGAGACAGAGTATCACTCTGTCACCAAGGCTGGAGTGCAATGGCATGATCTCAGCTCACTGCAACCTCCATGTCCCAGGTTCAAGCAATTCTCCTATCTCAGCTTCCCGAATAACTGGGATTACAGGCACGTGCCACCACACCCCAGCTAATTTGTATTTTCAGTAGAGACGGGGTTTCACCATGTTGGCCAAGCTGGTCTTGATCTGCCCACCACAGCCTCCCAAACTGCTGGGATTACAGGTGTGAGCCACTGTGCCCGACCTAAATTCTTAAAATGATTCATTTGAGGCAGAAGTACAAGTAGGGAGGAATGTGTTTGCTTGTGAAAAAAAATCCACACTAGAACAAGAGGCTATACCTCTTTATTAGGGTGACAGTGAAGAACAAATTAAATGCTTGTAAGTATGAATCTCTCAAAACCTGAATATTCTGCAGTGTTTGTTAAAGCCCTCACAAATGAAAGATCAATATCTAATAACCTCATTGAATTTATCATTGTTCTTAGGATATCGTATCTGGCTGCCTGGATTTATCACAGATTTTTATATCAATTCAATTGAGTATTGATTTAAGCAAGGACACTTTCTTAATATTTAAATCAAAGCATGACTTAGCACATAAAAGCAATGCTAGTAAGTTAAAAAAAGAGCTGAAATTATCTCACTTATCTAATTTACATTCCTATGCAAGTAAGTCTATCTTTTATCAGTTAGTCCAAAACAGAATTGAAGGCTACAGGCAATTCCGATTCCTTCCACCCTCTTAACAACCCTTTCTGCTCTGTACCCTACCAACAATAACTTTAAATTCTTTTTGGAGACTCAAGCCTTTTATTCCTTTGTCCTGTAAAATCCTGTTCCCCACTTCGTACTGGGATACAGGTTTATTTCTTCCCAAATACTAGTCAGTGTGATCAGCCCACATCAAGCCCTCATTCATGAGCATAATAATAAAAGCCAACTGTTACACAAGTGTTTTTTTTTTTTGAGTATGGAACAGTATCAAAAAGATCAGAAAACATAATTCTAAAAAACACATAAAAAGGAGCTATTAAGTTTGGCATCTTTAGTAACAAGATATAAAACAAAGGGGGGGGGTGGCAAAAAACAACTGGATCTTTAAATGGTTCAACAAAGCTGTCTGTTGAAAGCATCAGATTTTTAAGTTAACTAAAATTAACCTTTAAGTTCAAATATGATTCAGCCAAGTCAGAAATGAAACAGACGCTGATTAGGAAACACACACACACACGCACACACACAAAACTATGGTACCTGCCAGTTATCACCAGAGGTCCAACTGGACCTCAGACTGCCAATTAAAAACAATGTAAGGCCTGGCGCCATGGCTCATGCCTGTAATCCCAGCACTTTGGGAGGCTGTGGCGGGCGGATCACCTGAGGTCAGGAGTTTGAGACCAGCCTGGCCAACATGGTGAAACCCTGTCTCTACTAAAAATACAAAAATTAGCTGGATGTGGTGGCACATGCCTGTAATCCCAGCTACTCTGGAGGCTGAGGCAGGAGAATCGCTTGAACCCAGGTGGTGAATGTTGCAGTGAGCCAAGATCATGCCATTGCACTCCAGCCTGGGCAACAAGAGCGGAACTCGGTCTCAAAAAAAAAAAGTAAATCCAAAAATATTGACAAAGAATGGAAGAAATCCAAGACAAATCATGATTATATTATTTTAAATTATACAAAAGCATGTAGGTACTCCAAATTTTCTTTTAATAGGTTTTATATGTGCTTGTATGAATAATTAATAGTTTCCTTGCTCCTCTACTGATAGGAATTTTTTTTACCCAAAAAACATGTATTACTTTTATGAAAAGAGAAAAAAAATTGTCCAAGTAGATTTTTTTTTTATTAAAATGTTGGGCTGTTTACATTTCCTGATATATCTTTTTGAAGATGACTCCTTGAGGGCTTTAAATATATAGTATTTTATATACTCATTTTACTTTTTCAAAAAGGGAAGTGTTTACAAAATCATGCAACCATTTCTAGGTCACCCCAGAATTCCAGGGGAAAAATAATTTACCCACAATGACTTTTAAGCATCCACAAATTATTTTCTAAATATAAATTACAAGACAACAGTTTAATGGCTCACAGCAACACAGAATGTATCTTATGCAGTTGTATCAAAAATAACAATGCTATATAAATGCAAACTAAGAGTTTTTTAAAAAGCTATTTCTAAGCTTTAATGCACAAATTAAACATATACCGTCGTCACTTAAAACTTACAGTTCTTTATTCAAAAACATATTGGTCCAACAACTTCGAGCCACTTTAGTCATTTCTTATGTATTTCCTTAATGGTGCAATATTTGGCAGTGAAATTTCTCCACAAAATGAAAACTATTACCAATTTTCAACTAGCCGAGATAAGGCTAATCTGTATAGCCCAGCAATGTCCTCCCTCCCCTTCGTGTCCAGAAACAAGCAACTGTATTGAAAGATGTACTGGAATAATACTTGTTCTCCTTAACTAGACCTGCACTTCGACCAAAGTGTTAATATAGCAGGAAAACTACCTCAGAAATCTTTGCTGGCCAGGCAGTCACTCACACCTGTAATCCTAGCACTTTGGGAGGCGGAGGCAGGCGGATCGCTTGAGCCCAGGAGTTTGAAACCAGCCTGGTCAAGAGAGCGAGATCCATCTTTTAAAAAAAGAAAAATTAAATTAGCTGGGAAGCTGTGCATGGTGGCTCACACCTGTAATCCCAGCACGTTGGAAGGCTGAGGCAGGTGGATCGCCTGAGCTCAGGAGTTTGTGACCAGTCTGGGCAACATGGCAAAACCCTGTCTCTACAAAAAATACAAAACTTTGCCAGGTGTGAGTGGGGCATGGTGGCTCATACCTGTAATCCCAGCACTTTGGGAGGCCAAGGCAGGTGGATCGCCTGAGGTCATGAGTTTGAGACCAGCCTGACCAACATGGAGAAACCCCGTCTCTACTAAAAATACAAAATTAGCTGGGTGTGGTGGCGCATGCCAGTAATCCCAGCTACTCGGGAGGCTGAGGCAGGAGGATCCCTTGAACCTGAGAGGCGGAGGTCGCAGTGAGCCGAGATCGCGCCATTACACTCCAACCTGGGCAACAAGAGCAAAAGTACATCTCAAAAAAAAAAAAAAAAAATTTGGACAGGTGTAATGGCACATGCCTGAAGTCCCAGCTACTGGGGGAGGCTGAGATGGGAGGATCACTTGACCCCAGGAGGTCAAGGCTGCAGTGAGCTGTAACCACACCACTGTGCTTCAGCCTGGGCAACAAAGTTGAGACCCTGTGTCAAACAAAAAATTAGGGTGGTGTGCATCTATATTCCCAGCTACATGGGAAGCTGAAGAAGGAGGATCCAGGGGATCGAGTCTGCAGTGAGTCATGATCGCACCACTGCACCTCAGCCTGAACAACAGAGCAAGACCCCGTCTCAAACAAGTGCAGGCGCCGTGGCTCACGCCTGTAATCCCAACACTGTGGGAGGCTGAAGTGGGCGGATCACATGGTCAGCAGTTCGCAACCAGCCTGGCCAACATGGTGAAACTCATCTCTACTAAAAATACAAAAATTAGTTAGGCATGGTGGTGGGTGCCTGTAATCCCAGCTACTTGGGAGGCTGAGGCAGGAGAATAGCTTGAACCCGGGAGGTGGAGGTTGCAGTGAGCCCAGACGGCGCCACTGCACTCCAGCCTGGGCAACAGAGCGAGACTCAGTCTCAGAAAAACAAACAAAAAAATCCCCACAAAACAAACCTTTGCCCATAATTAGGGCAGCAAGAAATACTTATATTTTAAATTAAAGAAGTTAGATCCGGCCAGGCACGGCATCTCATGCCTGAAATCCCAGCACTTTGGGAGGCCGAGGTAGGTGGATCATAAGGTCAGGAGTTCGAGACCAGCTGCCCAAGATGGTGAAACCCCGTCTCTACTAAAAAATAAAAAAATTAGCTGGGCACGGTGGCAGGCGCCTGTAATCCCAGCTACTCGGGAGGCTTGAGGCAGGAAAATGGCTTGAACCCGGGAGGCAGGGTC